CCATATGTCAGCTTAGAAGAACAACTTGCAAATATCTTCACCAAAGGTCTTCATCATGTGCGGCACAAAGATTTGTGTGACAAGTTGGGCATGATTGACATCTATGCTCCAACTTGAGGGGGAGTGTTAAAATAATTTAGTTGTTGATGTTAGGGTTTGTTTGGTTAATTAAAGTGTTTTTTATTTCGTTTTTTCTTTCGTTTTTTTCTTTCTGTTATGTCTGTTATTGTACTCAGGGGCCCAAGGGTCTTTTCCCTTGTTATTTCTGTCGCCCTATATATATTAAAATAAAGGCTGGCGCCACCAGCACTGTTACATTGCAAAACCCTTCTTTCTTCTCTCCTCTCTTCTCTTCTCTTCTCCTCTTCTCTTTTCTTCTCTTCCTCTTATTTCTGGCCGGCCATACTGTCAAGAACTTCCACAGTGATCTCATGGAGTTCTTTGCTTCGTGTGGGTCTATCCACCGTAGCTCTTGTGCAAAAACTCCTTAACAAAATGGCGTTGCAAAAAGAAAAAACCACCTTTTACTTAAGTGGTTTGTGTGTTACTGATCCATATGAGTGTTCCAAAACGTTTTTGGTTGGATGTTGTGTTATCTGCTACCTATCTCATTAACCATATGCCATCTCGTGTGTTAGGGTACAAGTCCCCTCATCATCTCCTATTCCCTAAAGCTCCCCTCTTTTCTATTCCCATTTGTGTGTTTGGTTGTTGTTGTTTTGTTCAAAACTTGTCTCCTACCTGTGGTAAGCTTGACCCTCGTGCTCTTCCTTGTGTATTCTTGGCTACCCTTCTCAAAAGGGTTACCGTTGTTTCAACCCTGTTTCTCGGAAATACTAGGTTTCCATGGATGTGTCTTTTCTTGAGAGTGATCCTTTCTTTCTTGTTTCTCCTCAAGAGGAGAATAGGGTGGAGGAGAAACTGTTTCAAGTGCAACCTCCCCTACCTGACTCTCCTCCGTTCCGTGTCTTTCTCCATCACCGCAAGGGCCAGTCGGGGTCAAAAGCTGTGGAGCAACTTGAAACTGTACCGCCAACATCATCAGATTCATCGGGGACAGATCCCATCCTACCAAGTACTATTATTCATGTTGGCATTCCTAATCCTATTGCTATTGATTCTTCTTCTGCCAATGACCTTGACATCCCTATTGCTCAAAGGAGGGGAGTTAGGTCCTATACCACCAAACATCCTATCTCCCACTTTATATCATATGAGAACATCTCATCCTCCTTTCGTGCTTTTCTCTCTTCCACTAACAGTGTCCCTATCCCCAAAAATGTGGCAGAAGCTCTTTTAGTACCTGAATGGACAGATGCAATGAAAGAAGAGATGAATGCTTTACATAAAAATGGTACATGGGAATTAGTGGATCTTCTTGTAGGAAATGAACCAGTAGGGTGTAAGTGGATTTTTATAATAAAGCATAGGGCTGATGGCATAGTAGAAAGGTACAAAGCTCGGTTGGTGGCAAAAGGGTTTACTTAGGTGTATGGATTAGACTATGCAGAGACATTTGCTCTGATTGCTAAGATGAATTCTATCAGATTTCTTTTTTCTCTTACTGCTAACCTTGATTGGGATCTCCACCAGTTAGATATTAAAAATGCCTTCCTAAATGGTGATCTTGAAGAAGAGGAAAAGGTGTGTAGGTTAAAGAAGTCCTTGTACGGACTAAAACAATCGAGAGCTTGGTTTAGCAAGTTTCACCTAGTTGTACAACAGATTGGTTATAAACAGTGTCAGATTGATCATACATTATTTGTGAAAAGAGGAGAGGGAAAAATTGCAGCCTTGATAGTGTATGTTGATGACATAGTGATCATAGGCAACTGGAAGGTGGAAATTCAGAGACTAAAGGAGTTCCTAGCCATTCAATTTGAGGTGAAGGATCTGGGTCCCTTGAAGTATTTTCTTGGAAATGAAGTGGCCCGTTCGAAAAAGGGGATCTTCATTTCTCAAAGAAAATACATCCTAGATTTATTACAGGATATAAGAAAACTTGGAGACAAGCCTGTTGACTCCCCCATGATCCAAACCACAAATTAGGTGATTGTCAAGGTGAGACTATCAAGGATGTAAAACAATTCTAGAGATTTGTGGGTAGACTATTATATTTGTCTATGACACAGCCAGACATTGCTTATGTTGTGGGTGTTCTTAGCCAATTCATGCATGCTCCTAAGATTACACACTTAGAAGCAGCCGATAGAATCCTCAGTTGATGACAAAAAGTCTACTAGTGGGTATTGTACCTTTGTAGGAGGAAACCTAGTCACTTGGAGAAGCAAGAAACAGAATGTTGTGGCGAGGTCTAGTGCTGAAGTTGAATATAGAGCAATGTCCCATGGAGTGGCTGAAGTAATGTGGATAAAGAATTTGTTGAATGAGTTGGGATTTCCTATTGATGGTCCCATATCCTTGTATTGTGATAACAAAGCTGCTATCAACATTGCTGCCAATCCAATGCTTCATGATAGAATTAAACATACGAGGTTGACAAGCATTTTATTAGGGAAAAGTTATAAATGGGGAAGTGTGCACTCCATATGTCAGTTCCACAGACCAACTTGCAGACATCTTTACCAAGGGATTACATCATCCATGGCACAACGATTTATGTGACAAGTTGGGCATGATTGATATCTGTCCCAACTTGAGGGGGAGAGTTGAAATCAGTTAGTTGTTTTCAGTTTTTATTTATATTTCTGTCCTTTAGTGCCGTAGGGGGCACTTTTGTAATTCTATTTATTTTTATTATTAGTTGGGTCGCCCTAATTTAAAAGCTAATAGCTGGTGGCGCCAGCTATGGGATTTTGAATCCAAAATTTTTTCTCCTCTCTTCCTCTTCTCCCTTCCTCCTCTCTTCTTCTCCTTCTTTGATATCTTTAACCTGGAAAACAGAAGTGACCTACAGTCACCTTTCTATGTCTCCACAGATCAAAAATCACCTGAACTTAAACTGGAGAACAGGTGCCACAACCTATAAGCAACTCAGAGAACAGAACTTATCACTACGGTTTCCTCCTTAGTTCCAACTGATCAAACAGACAGAGCATTAAGTGCCACAAACAAAAAAGGTAACTAGACCCCAGCAGTCACATCCTCTAGGCTTCAGATCTGAAACTGAAAACTCTCCAAAACCCTCCACAAAAACAGGTGATCCAGAGCAGTGTTTATCAGCAACTCATAGCCCCATACACCTAGTTGATCTGAGCAGCACATGGGCCAAATGCAAGGGAGAAAGGAGAAAAAACTCTGCTCTGATACCAACTTGAAAGTTTGATCAGATTAGAGTTTTAGTCAAAATAAAAACAGAGAAATATTTGATAAAGAATCAGTAGCAAGAGAAGAAGAGGAGAGAAAAGAGAAGAGAGAATGAGGAAAAGAGAATCCTCTTAGGGTTATGTGTGCAGCCCTATTTTTTATTGTTTAAATGAAGTGTGTATAAAAAAATACCCTTTTGCCTGCTAATATATGTACAACATATAAAATAAGAAATAAGAAATAAGACAAGAATAATCTTCTCAAGAGAATATTTGGATTTAGCAATGACCATAGTAGAGGGAGAACGATGTACCTTAATGCCTAGAAAATAATTTTTTTTACCAAATGCCTAGAAAATAATGAAGAGGATCCAAGTCCTTGATAATAAATTCCCTCCTAAGCTGAAAAACAAACCAATCCAAAAATGACTCGTTTTTGTTAGCAACAATAATACCTTCAGCATAAAGAAGTAAAAAAATTAGTCCCATAAAAAGAATAACAAATAAATAATGAAAAATTAGTATGATTAAAAAAAAACCCTTTGTTAAGATGTAACCACGAAATCTGTCAAACCAATGCCTGGGAATTTGTTTAATACTATACAGAGCATTTTCTAACAAGTAGGCATGATCAGGAAATATAGGATTTTGAAATCCAAGGTCATTCCATGAAGACTGATTCTTTTAAGACATCAATGCAAAGAAAAAAAAATAGTATTCTTGATAACAGGTTGTTAAACCTCCTAACCACTAGCAATATCAATGGAGAGAATTAACTGTATCATTGCAGGTTTAATGATTAAGCTAAAGGTAAGCTAGCTAAAAATAATGATAATTACAACAACCACTTGATTACAATCTTTAACAACAAATTGACCATTCAAACACTTTGGGGAACCATTAGATCATAACTTAATTTTAAAGACCCATTTACAACAAACAAAATTCATGTCAGCCATATGTGGAACAAGTTATCAAGTCTTGTTAGCACATAATGTAGGTGGCATCTAAATTGCTACTTGGTACATTTTGAGAACCACTTGAGTGGCATTCTCATGCTAAATGTGAAGAATCCTGATGATTAGGGGTGCTCATGGTTCGGTTAACTGACCGTGGGCCTAATTTCCAAACCGAACTGGTTGTACCGGTTTTTTGGAAAATTGGTAACCAAAACCGAATTGAACCCGATCGGTTAACCGGTTGATCACTTTGGTTAACTGTCGGTTTGGTTCATCGGTTTTTTATTTTTTTATTTTTATAAAATATATTATAATTAAATATACAAATATATAGTACAACTTTTAGAAATACATATAAAATATTATATTGTAAAGAATAAATAATATGTTATATGCTATAAATATGTATATATACCGGTCAATTCGGTTAACTGCCAGTTTTTTATATTGGTTAACCGAAACCAAACTGGTACCTTCGGTTTTTTGAACATACCAAACCGATCGGTTCGGTCAACCAGAATTTTTTGTTTAGTCTTGTTGGTTCGGTTCAGTTTTTTGTTTTTTCTTGATCACCCCTACTGATGATGTACTGTACTATCATAGCCCCTATTGTATTTTATGTACTCTTTATTTCTTTTCTTTTTCTTTAGTCCTGTAAGGGCTTTTCTGTAATTGTATATATATAAGGGGCTCTTTGGGGGTGGGGGTCGAGTCATTCTCTTGACAACCCTAAAATGTTTGTTTTCTCTCTTGTTCGAACCACCAAGTTGACATGGTATCAGATCTGGTGATTTGATCAACAGAGAAAGAAGTTTGATTCTTGGGTTTAGAAGTGTTTCAACAAGGGCTTCTTATTCCATCTTCAGCTGCTGGATTGAGAGCTCTCTGGAGGCTGTTTTGATCAGTCCAAGAAGCTATTGTTCTACCTGGAAAAGATGCCTAGCAGGTTGGTATTTTATAGTTTTCTATCAATCGGCTGATCCAATCATCCTAGGTTTTCAGATTTGGTGTTGCCCTAGGGTTATGTATCATACCTATTGTTTCATTTGAGTTTGGATTACTTTTTGAAGGGTATTTGATCCCTCCTTTGGATCGGCAGTCCTGAAATCTTTCTTTTTTGGACTGTCATCACTGAAAACTTGATGTTAAGGACTTTTTTCTTAAAGAATCTTTTTCTCCTTCAGTGGTTGGTATTCTCAAGTGTCTAACAGAACCTTGATCAGTTTTAGTTGGTAGTCTGCTTGGTTTTCTCAGTTCTAATATCGATTTCAGTGCTGTTTTCTCTCTCTTGACTGTGTTTATTTCTTGAAGATGGCTGAAAAAATGGATCATACCTGTGAAGTTTGATTGAACTAATTACACCATGTGGAAGTTCCATTTCGACTTCTTTGTTGAAGGAAAAGGATTAGAGGTTACTTGAATGGGACTGTTACTAAACTAGATGAAACTGTAGTGAAAGATTTTCAGCAATGAAAGCTTGACAATAGGAAATTAGTCTTGTATGCTTACCTGAAGAAAGTTTGTCAGTCCAACATGTCAAGGCAATATCAAATAGAATCTGAAATCTTTGCTTATTCTCAAGGAGATAAGATAAAAGGAGTATTATGCTGGGTTCCTTGACTTGTGAGCTGAATATGAACTAGTTCATATTGATCCTTTTGACTCTGTTGAGAATGTGCATTTGGCTTTAGGGGTATTGTTGTCTTTTCCTATTATTTGTATTTTGGGCACCCTTATAGGGACATGACTGTAATTTCTGACTTAATATATAATGAAATATTCTAGGTGTGAATAGAAACACCCTATTCTCTCCCGTAACTCTTCTTCTTTCTTCCTCTTCCTTCTCTTCCTACACTTGACAACTTGGTATCAGAGCGGGAAGAAGTCTTGGACTAGGTTCCTCTGCCAACTCCTGAACTCAAGATGACCTGCTGACGTCAGACCGCCGCTGGTTGATGTCAGCAGTCCGTACAGGTATCAACGGCAACCCTTGAATCTGATATACTCTGGTGTGCCCTGATTTTAGGGTTATTTTGGTATGGTTCTTATCTTCACCTGATGTGTCTGATTTTTCCTGGATTTTACAATAAAAAATTACAGAAAAATACTGGTTTGGTGTTTGGATTTTTTCTTCCTTGTCTAAGTTCAATGCATGCTTGAAACTTTTGGTTTTGGTTTATTTGGCATCGCTAAAGGTATGGGAAGTGGTTCCACATCCTAATAACCTCTAATCTTTCTATGGGAGGTCTTTTTTCCTTCCTATATTGCCGCCAGTTCAGTTTTGGGCCTCCCATTGGATTCCAGCCGAGTGTTTCCCATCTTTTGTGGGTCTTGTGTGTGTCGGTTGGTTGTTGGAGTGCTGTAGAACTGTTAAGAGGCTTACCCAACTCAAATGGAAGTGCCTAAGGAGTTACAAACTGTTTCCGGAGTGCTTCCAGGTAATGTCAATGTCTCTAGTGGTATGATAACCACTAAAAAACTTGATGGAACCAACTTCCTAGAGTGGTCTCAATCAGCCAAGCTTACTATTGGAGGTAGGGGTAAGCTGGGATTTATTACTAGTAGAGAGGAGAAGCCAAAAGCTGATGACCCCAAACTTTCTAGAAGGGAACAGGATAATTCCTTGGTTATGTGATGGCTGGTGTGTTCAATGCAGTCACATATTGCCTGCAATTATATGTTCCTCTCCACTGCCAAGGATATTTGGGATCGTGTTAAAGCCACATACTCTCAAGCAAAAAATACAGCCTGAGTCTATTAGCTCTGAAGAGAAGCTTGTAATATATGTCAGGGGGAGAGGACTATAGCCATGTACTTCTCTTCTTTGTAGTCTCTATGGGAAGAAATGAACCATTTGGAGAACTTGGAATGGAAGAATCCTAAGGACAGTGAACAGTATCGAACGTATGTTGAGAAGAACCGAGTGTTTGTCTTCTTGGCTGGATTGAATGGGTGAGAATGATTTTAGTTGATAAAACATTTTGAGTGCAGATATTGTTTCCCTTGCTACGGTATACTCTTTGTGCAGGGAGAGGAGAGTACAAGGGATGCTATGATGCAGACCCCAGTGATGGATCATTCTGCCTACATGTCTTCAAGGTCCAAGCCGAGTACAAACAAATAGGGTACTAATGAAAAGCATGATGATGTGGTATGTGATTATGATTACTACAAGAGGCCGAGACATACGAAGGATAGGTGTTGGAAATTGAATCCACATTTAAAGCCTGACAAGTTTAAAACCGCAAAGAAGGGTAATGCTCATCTTACTACTGTTGGAGCTGATTGCCCTCCTAATGTATAGGCTCCCACACATGATATGTGATGGAGAAACTTAGGATTCTGTTGACTCAGCTTGAGAAGTCTGGGCCCTTTGCCTCTACTAGTTCTAGTAATTCTTCCAGTGCTTTTGCAAAAACAGGTACTGCACTTACTTGTCAATCATCTCTTACTAGCTCCTAGATTGTGGACTCTGGAGCTAGTGCACATATGATTGGTATGTCTTCCCACTTCACTTCTTATAAGTTGGCTCCAGGGGAAGGAAAAATCACTGTACCTGATGGATCTCATACCCCTATCTCTGGTCTGGGGGAGTTAAGCTTACTCGTGATTGTTCCCTAAGCTCTATCCTTCATGTTCCCCACTTGTACAAGAATATTTTGTCTGTTAGCACTTTACCACATAACTGTTTAGTGACCTTTTTCCCTTCTCATTGTGTTTTTCAGGACCTGAGAATGGGAAGGATGATTGGAATTGGACATGAAGATGATGGAGTTTACCTTTTTTATCAAACCTCTGAGCAATGATTACTGTGCCAGATTGAGTCATGTCATGATGAAAATTTGAATCTTTTGAAGTTGTGGCATTGTCGCCTTAGTCATGTGTCTTTTAAGTCCATTAAATTTTTGTTTCCAAACTTATGTCAGTCTAGGTCTAGTTTGGGTATGCAATGTGAAGATTGTCATCTCTCAAAACAATGTAGAACTATATATCTTGCAAGTAATAGGAATGATGTTGCTTTCAACTTGATATACACTGATGTTTGGGGCCCATACTCTATTCCATGTATGGGTGGCTATAAATATTTTATATTGTTCATTGATGATTAATTACTCATGATATACTTGGCTTTACCTGATGAAGAGTAGAGATGAGGTCCCTTCCATTGTTCAAAACTTCTTCAAGATGGTGGAAACACAATTTGAAAGGCACATCAAGATAATATGGTTTGGCAATGCTAAGGAGTATTTTGAAAAGCATTTGTGATTATTCCTTGAAGGAAAGGGAGCAACTCATCAAAGTTCATGTTCTCATACTCTGCAACAGAATGGTGTAGCAAAGAGAAAAAATAGACATGTTGTTGAGGTGGCAAGAGGCCTACTCTTCTAGATGAACGTACCAACTCGATTTTGGGGAAATGCAATTGAAGCAGCAATGTATCTC